GGGGGCGTGTTAGCAGCCCTCGGTTCAGGCTGTGCTCAGTGAGAAGGTGCGTTCCAGCCGCAGTGCCTGGTGAGCCCAGGTGGTGCCGGACCCCGGCCGCTGCAGGGGGCCTGCTGGCTGGGAGCACCCTGTGCTCTGCCCCTGACCTCCCGCAGGAGGGGCTGGCTGCTGACTGGGGTTCCTGCACGGCCTGGGGTGCGGGCAGGGCGGTGCGGCTCATGCACTGTTCTCATCTTCACTCTCCGTGTCCTGGCCCTTGTCAAGGCCACTTCCTTTTGTGACCACCCTGGCTGAGGGGGCTCGGCCTGTGGAGGGCTCCCCGCAGTCCCGCCCCGCCCCCACGGTGGTGCCGGGTCACCGGGAAGGAGCCCTGGCACGGGCAGGCCGGTCCGGCTCAGGTGCTGAGTTTCTCTCTGAAACGTCGTTCTTGCTAAAACCCTCTGCTGACCACATGCGAGCAGGCCCTTCAGTGGTTGAAGGGAACGGTGGACACTCCCGTTTCAGAGAACAGAGCCCACTAACGCTTGTCCTGTGTGCGCCCGAGCTCTGGCCCGAGGGGCTGCACTCACGGGAAGGGGCACCTGGGTGCTCACAGCAGAGCCCCCAGCAGGCCCGTTTGGTGGGTGTCCTCGGCCCAGGCCCCTGTGGGGGCTGCGGACAGGGAGTGGGGGGTGGGGCCTGCACTGTCCTTCCCTGGAGCCCATTGTGTGGCTGAGCCGCGGCCAGGGCACCAAAGAGGGCACAGCGCCCGGTGCGGGTGCTGGGGGGAGGGGGAGGGGACTGGGAGGCACAGGTCTGCAGGCGGTTTTCCCAGGTTTGGAGCCGGAGCAGCAGCCGCAGGGGAGGGAGGAGGGGGCCTCCCACTGGGGCTGCCCCTGCTCCCCAAGCTGCTGAGCGCCTGCCCCGGGCTCAGACCCTCATCGGGAGGGTTCGGGGGGCAAGGGTGGCAGGGACAGAGCCAGGCAGAGCCCAGTGTGAGTCTGTCTCACGCCGTCTGGGAGGCAGCTGGGGACTGTGCCCTGTGCTCCCTGCATCGGGACCGGCCCCTTTCACCTGGTCACCGTCTCCCCTCTCCTCACCTCCCGCCCAGCTCGGTGCCAGCCCTGCTCACCTCGCTTACACCCGGCTGGGCTGGCCGGCAGAAAGGAGGAAGAGGGGGGCACAGGGCCTCCGACTGACCAGACCTCGATCGCTTGGCCGCACTGTGCTGCAGGGGTTAGAACTCGGGAGGTTACAGGGAAGGGGAGAGGGCTGACCGCCCGGTGAGGTTACAGGGAAGGGGAGAGGGCTGACCGCCCGGTGAGCTTACAGGGAAGGGGAGAGGGCTGACCGCCCGGTGAGCTTACAGGGAAGGGGAGAGGGCTGACGGGCCGGTGAGCTTACAGGGAAGGGGAGAGGGCTGACGGGCGGTGAGGTTACAGGGAAGGGGAGAGGGCTGACCGCCCGGTGAGCTTACAGGAAAGGGGAGAGGGCTGACGGGCCGGTGAGCCGTCTCCTAGGCGTCTCCGGGCACCGGGGGTGGAAGTGGTCAGTGAGGTCACTGTCCCACAGCTGCTCGGCCCGGGCCCTCTGTCCTGCCTCAGCCGCGCTCGCCTCTAAACATTTCTCGGGTTGGTAAGTGGAGGTGTTTCCCTGAGGTCGCCCCACTGACCTCTGCGCCCTCTGCATAACGGAGAGGCTGAGGTTCCGGCCCTCGTGCTTGGATCTCACAGGCCTCTGGTCTGTGAAGACCCGGGATTGGAGCCCAGGTACCCTCCCGGGCTGGGCTTTGCTCCGGCGTTGGCAGAGGCCGGAGAATCTAAAGCCTCTGGAGGCAGCGGAGGGGGAAGCCCCGCGCCCACAGCCCCGCCCACTCGGCGGGCTGGGCATTGTCTGTGCTGAAGGATAACCGTGTTGTGTTCTGCTCCTGTTGCTTAAGGGGCAGGCGGGTGGAGACGGTCGTGTGTGGAGCCAAGGAGTAGCTGGGCTCGGGCCTAGGGGACCCGCAGGGTGTGGGTCACTCAGTCCCTGACCCCTCCAGCCCCGGCTGCAGTTGTGTGGCAGGTCGCCAGGCCGGTGTGGGCTCTCGGCGTGGCAGCACAGGGCACTCACCGTGTGGTGGGACAAGGCGTTCCTGTGGGGCAGCCAGGCCTTAGCCACACGCCCAGCTGTCAGGGCCGCGGCAGAGGGGGGAGTGGGGCCGGCTTTGTACCTGAGAGGCTCAGACCTGAGCAGCGGGGGACAGACCCACTCTCCAGCTCACTCCCTGGTGAGCCCCGTTCTCTCGGGCAGGCTCCCTCCGCCTGTGCTTGAGCTGCGAGTGGGAGGGGTGCCTCCCCCCACCGTAGCCCCAGAGCAAGCAAAGGGCTCCCCTCGCTCAGTGTGCCTAGTCCAGGGCCGGCTCTGGTTGGCCCATCCGTTTGGATGGGGCCCAGGGGAGAGGCCACCGGGAGGAAGGGCGGAGGGCTCCCCCACAGCGGGGATGCTGGCCCACAAAGGCCCACCGGGTGCTTCCTGAGCACTGGCCTGGCAGGTGTGTGTGAGGCACCTGCAGGAAAGAGGGTGCGGGAGGGGGAGGGTCTCTGCAGAGGCACCAGCTGGCAGCGCAGGCTGACGGTTCAGACCAGGCCACACCTTCTCCTAGGTGGGGCCGTGCAGCTGGTCGTGGACGCAGGACGGTGGGGCTGTGCTGGGACCCGAGCCCTGACCCATGCAGCGTCCTGTCCCTGCCACACCTGCTGCTCCTGGGAAGCGGGGGTGGGGGGGGACCTATCATCTCTGGGTCATCGGGGTCGTCACTGGGCGGCTGCCCTGGGGCGGAGTGACCACCGCGCCTGCTCTGTGTGCAGGAAACTACAACCTCTCGAGCGTGCTGCCCACGGCCCCCGACATGGCGCAGCTGAAGGAGGGCGTGCGGTCCGTCGCCGGGAAGCTGTCTGTCTTCGCTAACGGAGTCATGACCTCCATCCAGGTTTGTGGGGCTCCGAGGACGGGGTCTGAGGAGGAGGGTGGGCTCGTGGTTGTGAAAATGAGACTGGGGCCACTCTTCAGTCAAGGAAATTAGATTTTACATCACTGATTTAGATGTTTGCTACGTGTGACCCAGGGCATCGTAAAAATCAAGTTACCATTTCCTACTGGTTTAAACTTTCTAATTTATGACCCTAGGGGAACTGTTACAGGAATCATCATGGTCCTTATCCACTCCTTTCCTACATTGGAACAGAAATATTAAGAAAGTAAAAATGACATTTTTTTATCTTTAAAAGGTATTCTATGAATATCTTTTCCAAAGTAAAAAAGATTACATTGTGTATATGCAATCCTGCTTTAAATGACGTTTTGTTAGGAGCATTTCCATGTGAGTAAAAATTCTGCAAAACCCACATTCTTTCCCATGGGAATCCATGGAATGTACGTAACAATTTTCAGGCTGGCTCTGGAGAGAGCACTCTGACCTGCCGGCGGGCAGGCGGGCAGCTGGTGTACAGGCGGGGCGCGCAGGCTCACGGTCATTCTTGTGTTATTACTTATAATCACTGTTGCTTCCCACACACCTGTGCACCTCCTTTGCCCACCCTGTGTAACAGCCGAAGGCCGCCCTGATTGGGCGAAAGGCTTCTCTCTGAGCCTTCTGTTCACGTCAGGTTATTGCCGGGGACTCTGTCGCGAATGTAAGACACGGCCCCAGTTATAATGCCGAGGTTGTGAGTTCGAGCCTCACCTGGAGCACAAAAAAAAAAAAAAAAGACATGGTCCCAGGAGTAGGGCCTAGTGGGGCCTGGTGCCTGCAGGGTTCCCAGGTGGGGGTGGGCCCCCCTGGAGAATTCCAGAGGCCCCTGCTGAGGCCCTGCGGGGAGTGAGTGTCTGGTTGGGAGGCAGAGCTGCTCATGTCCCTGGGGAGCGGAGCCCGTCGGTCCTGCCACGAAGGTGACAGTCCTGGTGACACATGAACCTCCCATCCTTAGTCACCTGGAGGTGAGCAGTGGAGGCGCAGAGAGCGGAGTGCGCCCTTCAGCGAACAGAGGTCAGGTTCAGACTCCACCTGCGCTCCTCTGTCCCCTCACACCTGCCTCTGGGGGCTCCCCAGGCAGAGCCAGGCCGCGGGAATGAGGACGTGACTCGAGTGTTTGTGACTCTCATCGGGCTCTCTCTCTCTAGGACCGCTATGGTTCCTAATCCTGATGTCATGTGCTTCCTGGAGGAATTCCTCGTTAAGGGACCGAGGCCCGCAGACTGCAGCGCAGACGGCCCGTTCTGCAGGTGGCTCTGCTGCCTGGGCCCGCGGCCTAGACATGGCTGACGTCACCTTTCCTTTGATGTAGAAGCCTTCTTGTCGTCTCTGTTCTGTTACTTCCTGCACATGCCCTCTCTGCCCATCCATGCATATCCTCGCTTTACTTTCTTGGAATCTTTAGTTCCGACAGCTGGGGGCCTGGAGACACGGCCCCTCTCACCCCGAGAACAGAGAGCCTTGTGTGGGGGTCTCAGCGTGTACGACCCATGGGCTAGGGGCTCGAATCCGCCGGTGCCAGCTGGGCCTGGAGAAGCGAAATTCACAACAGACGTCTCAGTAAAAATGGAGCAAAAAATAAAAACAAAAGACCAAAATGACTGGTGTCTAATTGACAGATTGCTTCCTTTATATTTGCACACAGTCAGGTGATTTCAAAATAATGTTTAAAGTCACCTGTCCCCTTGTAAATGGTTTATTTTGTATGATCTATAAATTCAAAAATAATTTCAGTGAGTGCTTTTAACAAACCTAAGTTTCTGCGTTGCCAGGGAACTAATCTCTTGACAAGGTGTGGCTGTTTGAATCTATTCGAAATATAAGATGAGAACTCCCTAAGTGCATTTATAAATCGATAGAGTGTTCAGAATTAAAAATGAATAAGGTAAGAAGATACACTCACGGGAAACATTTCAGTAAGTGGGAAAATAGTAGTTGTAATTGGGTAGTTTTGTTAATATTTTCTATCTTAATATTTGTTTTTTAAAAATTACAGAATGTGTATAAATAAAGAAAAATAGCTTGGCTGTGTTTTAGACAGCATTGAACATATTGCTCAGAACAGTAAAATGTATTTGGAATGTGATGAACCAGAAATACAGCTTCAGCTGAATATTTTGTGAATCTTTCTTAAAGCTCCAATGATCAGACTCTGAATAAACAGTTGCAGCAGGTGCGTTGCCGACTTTTTTTTACCAAAGTTTATGAGACTAATTATCGAATTATCGTACATGAGGGCTCACGGGGTGTGACATTGGTGTGCATTTGAATGATGATACAGCTACCGATGGACTTGGTGTTTTGTTTTGTTTTGTTAATCTGAGGGTATTTTTTCCTTTTTTTTTTTTTTTAGAAAGGGAGGGAGGGAGGGAAGGAGGGAGAGAGAGAGAAACATCGATGTGAGAGAGATACATTCATTGGTTGCCTCCCACACACGCCCCAACCAGGGCTGGGGTTGAACCTGCAACCCAGGCGTGTGCCCAGAGGCCAGGGCTCGCCGGGTCTGTTTTTAATGTACGTTTGGGGCCTGATGTCTTGTCATTAACTGAGGGAGCGCAGTGTGTGTGTGGGGGGGGGTGTCCTTGCTGAAAGTGAGGTGAGCAGAGTGGCATCTTTCAAGCCCAAGGGGCTCACATAACAAGACCCCACAGGCAGGGGCTTAACCAGCAGAATGCAGCACAGTATCCCGTAGTCCCAGAGGCCAAAGGCCCAAGGTCAAGGTGCCGTCGGGAGGGCCTGTCTCCAAACAGCCCCGTGGGAGTGAGGGCTTCCGTGGGAATTGAGGGCAGCGCTCAGTCCAGCCGTGTCCGTGAGGAGTCCTCCCACTGGGTGTCCTGCCCCCGGCGGGAGCCTGGCTGGGTCCGTGTCCCAGGAACCTGCTGGGTTGCGGGTTCAACCCCAGGCCTGGTTGGGGCGTGTGTGGGAGGCAACCAGCACAGGCTCTTTCCCATTCTTCAGGGGGACGGTGGGTCACTCCTGAGTGTGCCCTGCTCTTCCCCATCCTCGGGGTCCTCATAGGGGGGGCCTGGGCAGCCGCACCCCTGCACCCCCTCCCCTCGCCAGGGCCACAGCTTTAGCGCCTGGCGGGAGGTGTTTCTGAGCGGAGCGGGGCTCATTACCCCCCAGCACAGATGCCTTTGTGTGTGTGTGTGTACATGTGTGCACGTGTGTGCATGTGTGTACGTGTGTGTGTGTGTGTGTGTGTGTCCTCAGTGTTGTGTTAGAACAACGTGCGTGAGTGCTTACATAGTGAAGAACACGGTGATTTGACCATCCAAGGGCCCGATGTTTCTGGGGAGGGGGAGGCAGAGGGAGCGGGAGGGGAGTTCCCCGTAGCTCTCACCAGAAGGAATTTGCTCTGAACGTTTCTATCACCGTGAAGAGCTGTTGGGAACGTAGGTAAACAAACAGGTGTCGGTGCTGCCTTGGAGACAAGGACAGCGGTGACCAGGGCGTCCAGAGACCGGGAGGAGCAGCCGGGGGACTCGGGGACAGAGCCAGAGCGGAGCCAGCCCCGCTCCTCCCGGGCCGCAGGGCCTCGACGCCAGCACCTGGGCCGCAGGCCTCGGCGCTCCCAGCGCCCGCTCTGCCCGGACACCGGGCGTCGGTGTGAGCTCCCTCAGTCCTGCGGCGCTGCCCGGGCAGTTCGCGGCCCCTCCTGCCCACACCCTGCCCCAGCGCCCACGGGGAGCCCGTGACCATACCAAAGAGGCTGCTATGGTGGGTGGACTTGCACCAATCTCCCAGGATGCACGGCGGCGGTGGCAGGGGGCAGGACTCGGGCACCCTGGCCTCGCACTGGGAGTCGGGGTGACTGACCTCCCAGAGTCAGACTCTGAGGACCCAACGCTGGCCCTCCCCAGCCCTGACCTCTGCTCTGCTCTGCGGTCACAGGACGCAGACAGCTGCTGGTGCTGAGTCTGTGGTTGGTTGTGAGGCCTCGTGCTCCCTCCCTCCCCTCCCCTCCTTCTCCTCCTTCCTTCCCCTCCCTTCCCCTCCCTTCCCCTCCCCTCCCTCCCCTCCCCTCCCTTCCCCTCCCCTCTCCTCCCTTCCCCTCCCTTCCCCTCCTCCCCTTCTCCTTTTGCGGAAGCCAGTTCCAGCAGGTCATAAGTTCAAGAATTTCATCAAAAGGTTGATGGAACTTGGGGATGCAACAAGGGCTGAGTCACATGTGTTGTCACCTGTTGGGAGTGGCTGATGGCATTTCCCCAAACCTGAAAAGGATGCATTAAATTGATTGATTGCTGCCAGACAGCTCAGGGCATCTTAATCCACATGGTATTGCCTCATGCTGGCCAAACACCTGAACAGCCTTGGCGATTCCCCCAAATCTGACAGTGGACTCTGTATAGGAAACCCTGGCCCTTGGAAGTGTCTATCTCCGCCTCGCCTCAGGACAATTTGTGTTAATAGAAAGCATGGGGTCCTCAGAGGAGGAGGTCTTGGTTTCTTTTAAACTAGGCTCCTCTGACCCCCAAATGCCTTTCAAAATTATGCTTCGTCTCTGGACTAAAGTTACACACACCTTCTCCAGATTGCTGAGCTCTCTCGACCCCGGCACCCTTTCCGCTGTAGTTCTCATCCGGGCCTCGCCCAGGCCATGGTCTCACCTAAAGCCAGGGCGCCGTGGCAGGAAGGCCGGCAGGGACCTGGCACGGATGGACGGATGGTCAGACGGACAGGGATAGTGGGGAGTGGACACCAGGGGTCTCCGGCCACCCAGGCTGGTCTTGCAAACAAGCTTCCGTGGCCCGTCTCCCTCCCTCCCCTCCGCCTGTGCTGGTCCCTCTCTGGGGCCTGGGCGCACCCCTAAGGCGGCAGGTGGTGGGGACACTGTCCATCCCCCGTGAGAAGCCCGCTGTGCTGAGGGCCCGCCCTCAGAGGCCCTCTCCCTGACTCATCCCGGCAGCGCCGCCTGCACCAGACATGACCTCTGAGCCCTGAGCCCAGTTCCTCTCTCCACCGGCTGCCCTTCCTGTCACCTGGTGGCTGCGCCCTTGTCTCCACCACACCCCGTGGGCATGGCTGCTGCCTCCCTCAGGGCCCGGCTGGGGAAGGTCACGTGTCTGCTCAGCACCCAGGGCTCCACCTGGGTTTACATCCTCACTACCAGGCACTGGGCCTCACTTCCTGCCTGACCCGGAGGGTCCTGCGGGAGCATGGGGGTGGGGGGCGCGGGGCGCCTGCTCTGGCTGCGTTTACTTACGCTTCCTGGACTGTGAGTAATGCACGTGGTTAACAACCTGGCTGGCGAGTCAGTGCCAGCCCAGCAGAAAGAAAAAGGAGTAGG